CGTGTGTGTCTTGTATGTGTGTTGAAAGGTCCAAGTGCCAGCAACTAGAGAAAAGGCCGTGGGCACCAGGGCTGTAGGTCTGGGTGGCAGCAACTGGAAGGATTGGGTTGTAAGTGGGTGTGCAAGAGGTCCAAGTGCTGGCAGCTGGAGACCTGGGTGTGTTTATATTTCTTCAGTGAATTCAATCCTCTGTGTATATGTATAACTCACTAGCAAACTTCAAGCTGGACTAGCTGGTGAGTTGGAGGAAACATTTCCACATCCAGAGGACTTGGTCTGAGCCAGTGGTTGGGGTAAGGGAGCCCAGGCATGGATATTGGGCAGACTGGTAGCCCACGGAAATATTCAAGGGATCTGTGATTGTGAGAGTGCTTATGCAATGAATGTGTGAGCATATGCATCCGTCTCGCAAGCAAGAATCACATTGCTCTGTCTGGCAAGTAGGAGGTGACCTGCATATCAGTTAAAGGATGCCAGGTCCAGGCACGGATATTAAAGAGGTTTAGCGGCTGTGCTAACATTTAAGGAGGCTGTGAATGTGGGTGTGCTTAGGGATGTGGAGAACGAGGGTGCACATGTTTTCATCAGAGAACCTCCATTCTGATCGGCTGGAGGGAAGGAAGAGGATGGGGCTGTCCACACTTGTGTGATTTTGGGTAGTGTTATAGGTGGGTGCTGCTACCCGCGCTGCTCTGTGTGTGTACAGCAGCCTGTGCAGCCAGCAGCACTAGGGATCTCTGTGTGCGCGAGCGCATCTCTTGGATACACATTTAACCTTGCCACAGGCCAGACCTGCAAGCAGGAAGAGCAGCAGCTGCATCCCTGGGACTGGTATGGAGAGATCGCTTGGGACTGTTCCTGGCTGGGCATGTCATCTGGGGAGGAGGGATCCTGGGACTGCTGGATTTGGTGGCTCCCTTAACACCCTTGATAAGTAGGGCTACAATTCAGCGGGACTTGGAGAACGCAGTAGGCATGGGAATAGGAGAAGGGCCAGAGGAAGCAAAGTATATTTCCCTGAGGACCCTTTGCAGAGGAAGGTGGCAGTCACCATGGGCACAGATCATCACATTTGCAGTGTTTTGGAGAGAGGCTGCAGGAGACAGAAGTGGCAGTAATAGAAATGTCAGGTCACACCAGATGGTTGGTAGACTGATATGTGAATATGTTCACATTTAAAGGTCAGCAGCTACTTTGATTCCTTGGAATGGATGTTGATGATCATAACATTTGTCGTGCAACTTACCCTAACTCTGGGCAAGAGCAGTTCAAATGTATGGAAATTTGATGAGGGAACTAGTCTTCCTCTGAACGCTACAAATGTGTATGCTTCTGTACCGACATTACATACGTCGTTCTCCTCTGATTAATATTCTCTGAAATGTAGTTATATTTAAAGCATTCATAGCTGTTTTTATTAGCTTTTGTTGGAACCCAAAGATTTATGAAAACAACCAGACAAAATTAACAAAGATTTGTCAGAGCTAACAAACATCCTGGGCAGGAAGATACCCTACTATAGCTGTCTTAAAATAACTTTCCTATTTTGACATGTCTTCATCAGCAGTTTTCATGCAAATAATCCTCCAAATGTGCTTTCAATTAAGATATGCACATAGATTTACATGGAGTTAAGAAGACACAAATGAGACTGTTCATAGATTCAGCCCTGGCTAAAATACTTAACATTATAAACAGTGAGCATTTCATAATTTCAAATGCAAACTACTGGATTTGTGACTGCAGAGATCATTTATATTTTTTGAAATCTAGATAACATGATATGGCATAAATAGTACCTGAATTGTAAAATCTTTTGTGCTTTCACTAGAAGAAAAGCTTAATACGTAAAGCAATGTATTAGAATACATTGTGTAAGATACAAATTCCATAGGGTATATACTGAAATGGTAAACTTCCACTGGAAAAAAACCTTAAGTTTCTGCTTATTCATTTCAAACAGGAATCAGTGAGAAGCACAATTTAAAACTGAATCTCCTAGTCAGTAAAAACAACCCACTTTTCAGTGGTGAGCAGGTTCCACAGAGCCGGAAGAGACAGAGGTTTTATTAATGTCATTAACTGGCTGAAAAATACTCAAGAGAAATATATTTTTTTTTCCTTCAGTTTTCAAAGCAGAAAAATTACTCAGGAAGTCCAACATCAGATTCAATATTGGACTTTATTGTATATCACAAAATTTATACTACTAGCTCAAGTTCCTGAACAAATACATTTTTCTTACAAAAGCTGTATGACCACTGACTTAGTGATGGTATTTTTCTGTGAAGAAAGGAGGTGAGAGATTAAAAATACATATGTGGTTTAGGAAATGAAGCATTTCAAGTGGAGTTTTCTTCCTTATGAGTAGATGCTTTACTTTTGGATTTGTAATTTAACTAGTTGAAGTTGCAATGTCATGGTAATGGTCATCTCTTGCTAAAAACAGCAATGAAGATTCACCAGCTGAGGTCCTATGGCTTTCCGCTGGAGCTGACTTCCCTGCTTTACAAAGATTTTTCTATATGGTTACTAAGACTGGGTCTATTACTTTTAATGAAACAGCTTAATTTTGGAGACATAAATTTGACACATTTACAGATAACATGGATATTCACCACAGATCAGACCAACTGCGTTGGTCAGTTGGAGAGCCATACACAGGGTTGCAGCGCTTCACAGAAACACCAAGTGTTTACTTTACTTAAAGCAAATTTATTCACATAAAGTTTTACTAAAAATCTTTAATGTAAGCTTCTCCGTATGAAATCACTGAGATATTAATATGATAGTAAAACCCACCAGTGTAAAATACG